TATCTATCTATCTATCTATATATATATTTCATCAAATTTTTAAAGTCCTGCACTTGAGTTGCCTCACTTGGGCAGTACTGTGTAGGTATGTAATCTGCCCACCAGCAGAAAATCAAAGTCCTCCAACAAAATGTCTTCCGGGAAACCTTTCCCTAGTCCATACGGGTGGCTTTCACATCCCTGTTCACGTACACCTGCTTTATTTTTTCATCTACCTGTATGTTCTTTAATTACTTACTTACTACATTAAAAATATCAAGGTCAGGGTGGTGTTACTCTTATTTACTCTCAGCCCTGTGTGAACACCTGGCGCATAGTAGGTGTTGAGTAGCCATTCATTGAGTAAATGATTAATGTGCAGTCAATTATGAGTGAAAAAAATTATGAGTGAAAAATCAATATGCAGTATTGGATTAAACACAGCAGTGTGTTTCTACATCAAACCCAGCTATTGGAAGCAGTGCTTTTAGGGCTGGTGGATTCCCTTTGAAATCTGCTGCCCAAAATCACAGCCCTTTACCACATGTAGCTATTTAAATTTTAAATTAATTTAAAGTGGATAACGTTTAAAATTCAACTATTCTGTCACACTAGCCGCATGTCAGGTGCCTAGTGACTACCGTATTGGACATCCTGGGCATAGAATATTTCCATTATCGCTGAAAGTTCTATTGAAAGTGCTGCTATAGAATTTTCAAAAATTCCAAAAACCACTGCTCTCTCTCTTTTACTCTTGCTCACTTTTTTTCTTTCTCTTTCTCTCCTCCTTAAACCAAGTACATGGATAGCTGTCTCATTGTTAGTGACTCAAAATGATGCTTTTGAACAAGAAGATGCTGGATGCTTTCGGTGAGGTGACTAATACCATCCCCACCTTTTTCTTTTCAATTCCTAAGCTATTGTTTACCAGCACATTCTTTGATTCCCATTGTGACTAAAGCAGCCCGTTCCTTGAGGGAAAAGCATAATTACTTCCTTTTCTAGGTCCTTAAGCCCTTTGCTAATGTTCCTGTCTGTGAGTTCCCGAAGCTGGGGTTCTAGGAGAGTTACCTGAACTGCTGACCCATGAAATAATGGAGTAAGGCAGGTGAGGTGAGGCGCGAGCAGGGGCTCTGTCAATAGGCCAGCCTCCCTCTCACGCACAGGGCTGGTTAATTGGCCATTCTGGGAAGGGCGGTCCCGGGAGGGGGGCTTCTGAGAATTGCCAGTGACAGTTAAGTGGTCTTTTGTTGATGTCCTCTATGGTACCACTTCGTTGGATTTGTCCCTGCCTTTCTCCTACCTCCTGTGGATTTTCTGTTAGAGTCATCATACCATTCAGGCATCATCTTGTGCTGTTTCCTTCCAATATGAGGGCTTTGTGTGGTGCTTTATTCCTGCTATTCCCAGACTGAAGTGGGCTCCAGCGGGACTGAGAAGCAGACTGTGCTACAGGTTGAGAACTATCATAGTGACTCTGGAGGCCCCAAAACATGCTGCTTGTCCCAACAGAATGGTGATGCCTTAAGGACAGAGGCAGGAATCTTGGCCAAATTCCTTCTCATACAATATATATCTCCTCTCCTCTCCTGTCCCCTCCTGTCCCCTCCT